GCATGTGGTCCTGATGAAATGCCAGCTGGAATTTGTGTGATTTGGAAAAAAATTCTCTCTCACCAACTGTACACCATTGTTCTGAAAAACTGGAAACATAAAGAGATTCCCAGTGACTTGAGATGCCAGAATCACTACCATATTTGAAAGAGGAGATACTTGCAGCAATCGTATCTATTGTGGTATTGCGTTCCTGTCCGTAGCTGGGAGGGACCTTACCGGTGTTCTTTTCAGTAGGCTCACTTTGCTTGCAGAGGAGATTTTACTGAAGTCCCAACGTGGTTTCAGACCACTCAGAGGTACAATAGATATGGTCTTTGTTCCTAGATAGCTGCAGAAGAAGTGTTGCGAGCAACCCTGAGATCTTTACATGGGCTTCATTGGCCTGACTGAGGCCTCTGGTTCAATCAACAGAGAGGTTCTGTGAAAGATCCTGATGAGATTTGTATGCCCGCCAAGAGTTGTTACTGTCGCCTGACTTCTTCATGACAACATGACAGCAACTGTCCTAAGCAATGGCTCAGAAACAGACCTCTTTACTAGTAAAGCAAACACTCTGTATTGCAGCTATTCCAGGTCTTGTTGCTGATGGACTTCCATCTGGAGTAAACGTCCAGTACCATATAGATAGAAATGTCTTTAACGTTGATGGGTTACATTCCAAATCCAAGATAACCAACACCTCCATTACTGATCTTCAGTATGCTGATGATTGTGCAGTGTGTGCGTACTCAACTGAAGAGCTCCAGGTCACTCTTGATTGCTTCTGTGAAGCATATGAAAAGTTGGGCTCACTGTCAGTGTCATCAAAACCAAGGGGACTTTTACCAACCCACTCTGAACCAGCCAGCTGCTCCTCATATTACAATTGTAGGGCAATTCTTCAGGAACTTTGAGCATTTCCATTACCTGGGAAGCCACTTTGGCTAAAACATAAATGTAGACAGTGTTCAACATTGGATGCCTTTAGAAGTCTCCAGAATCCTGTCTTGGATGATAATGACATCAAGACCTAAACCAAACTTCTTGTGTACCAGGCTGTTGTCATCCCTACCCTGTGTATGGTATGATACTTGGATGACATATCAGAAACACCTAAAAGCTTTCGAACATTACCATCAGTAATGTCTTTGGAAAAACTTCCATAATAATTGGAAGGACAGGAGCATGAATGCCGGCATTCTGGCTCATGCAAACAACACCAGCATTGGAGCTGTGTTTGTATAGCAGCAGCTCCAGTGGACAGGACATATCATACTAAAGCCTGACAGTATGCTTCTGAAAGAGGCCCTATACTCCCAACTCACAGATGGTCATTGCTCAAGAGGCAGGCAAAAGAAGAGATTCAAGGACACCTTGAAGGACAATCTGAAGAAATGTGATATCAACATGTGATATAAACCTGGGAGACTCAAGCACTGAATTGTTCCTGGTGGCACCATGATATATGACAAAGTATCAGTCATTTTGGTTAGACTGTCTTCACTATGCAGGTAGATAAATGAAAGCATCTCAAAGGAAAAGAGCTACAACCTGACATCACCAGGATAGTTTGGGAAAGAAGGATCATATCTGCCACATCTGCAGCTGAATATGCAGCTCTTGGATCTGCTGCCTCAGTCATATACAGACTCACTGATCAAACTTCCCTATTTACTGGAAAACTGTTAGTCTTGTGTCAAATGACTGATGATGATGAACTAGTCCCATTTAAGACCTAACAATGAATATGTCCTTTACTTACTTTAAAGTAAGTGTAACTGGAAAGTAACTGTTCATACTTCATAAAATACTGTTCCTTTTGGTTATTGGTTCGTTTTCAGACTTCTGGCTTAAGTTCCTGTTCTTAGGAGCCTGATTGTTAACCACATACAGGAACAACTGGACAACAGATATCTCTTTTTTTTTTTCAGGAAATGCACTCATCAAATGTGGGGAAACACAAAAGCGAATTGGAACAGCAGACAGAGAACTAATACAAACATCTGCAATAAACTTTCTCACTCCACTAAGAAATTTTATTGAAGGGGACTACAAAACAATTGCTGTAAGTTGGGAAATGTGCTTCCTTTTATATATCTCAATATTTCTAAATATAAATACTTAAGTGGAAGTGAGGATAGTTAAATTTCAGCTTTGGGCACTTGAAGCTTTTAAAAACATGAGCATATTTTAAAGCAGACTTAAAAAAGCAAGCAAAACAGTGTTTTATAAAAGCACATATGTTGTGAACACCTGCCACATTCACTAAGTTTAAAAGTTCAGTTTTATGTGGTACATTAGGAATACAGTCTCAAGTAAGTGGCTGAGCAATGCTTAGGTATTGCAGACCCATAATTACCCTGATTATGTAACCTAACTGATTTTCCTAAACTTATAGAAAGAAAGAAAGCTACTGCAAAACAAGAGACTAGATTTGGATGCAGCGAAAACCAGACTGAAGAAGGCAAAAGTTGCAGAAGCTAGAGCTGCAGTAAGTAGACTATTGTTAATATTTGAAAAAAAAGAACACAATAGGTTTGCCTTAACTCTCCAAAAACAGACCTTTCTCATCCTATATTAACTGATTGGGCACATCTAGACAAGATGTTTACTGCAAAATAGACTTATTAGCTGCGCAGTAAACATCTTGGCATGTACACATGCCCCTGTTAGGCTGGGGTAAACTGATTTACTCTGCAGCAAGATATTACTTGTAAATACAAAGTACAGCCTGGCAGCCTGACACCCCCCCCAGGCACACTGCCAGCCGGGGCTGCTGTGATCCAGCTCAACATGCTGCGCTCTTGGGCACATACTCAAACAGCAATAAACTCTGGAGTTTATTGCTTTGTATTAATTGCATGTGTAGATGCACCTAGTATGTAGTTTTGTCTCGGTTTGGTTTTCACTTGGCCAGAAATGCCTAAGTGGCACATGATAAAGGAAAATGGAACACTACTAACTGGTGTTTAAATTTATTCCCTAACTTTTTTTCACAATGCAACTTGGCAAACATTTGTATAGCATCTCTTCTATCCTAAATAAGCATTTTATTGTAACACCTTTTGAATACAAAGAATTGTGAATGAACATCTTCACATAGTAATATTAAGGGTGTTGGTGGTGGTATTGGGGTTCCAACCATCAAGAATAGCTTGTATTGTGGTTGCTTTGTGTGGGAGTGTAAACAGATCTGTTGCAAATGAGAGTGAACCATTAGTAGGTGAAACTGTGATGTATGTTAAACTACGTGCAGTACCACATTTCCATATTGTCTTGTTCTTTGCTGTGTTTTGTTAGAATCTTGCATAACTTCAGGAAAAGTATGAAAATTGTTTTTGTACCTTCTTTTTTTAAAATACAAATGGCTTGCTGCTGGAAGTCTGGCAGTATATTCGTTGCCCTACATAGCTCAAGGACTGGCCACTTTCAGAACAGTTGCTTTGGAAAACTTTAGCATAGTTATTACTTTGAGTTATGCTGGGATTTGCTTACACTCATTAGTTTTCTCCCCATCAGAAAAAACTAGGTATTAGCTGACTTCACGTAGGGGATCGAGTTACTTTCCAGTTGCTGCTTCACAGCCACTCTTACAAAAATCTACTTACCCTTTAAACATTTCACTACCAAACGGTGTGTAGTGCTGGTGAATCATGCCACTTAACATCTTAACTGTGTTATCATTTCTACCTGTACTTCAATTCTAATCCTGTGTCTAGCCGCTGTATCAAACCAGTAAATATTAGTGCTCAAAATGAAGAAAGGGTTTGGGTTTTAAGCTGAGACCAGAGGTTCTCAACTTCATTAGATTCAAGGCACCCTTCAAAAATGCCAGTTCTTTGTTTTCAGTTGTTTTTTTGACTATGGAAAAATAAAAGAGAAATTCTTAGATTGCAAACAACTTGGAAAGACCATGCTGAGTTAAAATGTTTTTGATGCTCTAGATTTTGATTTGAAATTCCTGGGTTTTTCTTATGAACCATGTAGGTGTTTGCACATCTAGAAATGTTAGAATTGTGCCACCCCACAGCACTTGTAAGGATCTTGCAGCACCCCAGGATGTTACTACATAACCCTGGGTGAGACTCACTGGTATAGACGTAAGGGACGCGTCCACGCGTGCAGTCACGTGTGCTTGCAGCAATTCAAATAGAAGCGGCAAAAAATTGAGCTGGGGATTTTTGCCTCAGTGCACATGCCTGGAAATGCACTTTGGTGTGGAGCAAGTTGTGCTACTTGGGGCAAAATGACCCTGCCCAGCTCCTCCCAGATCTGCAAGCAGGGGGAGCTAGAGCCTGGGGCCAGCACCTGTGCAGTATAAAAGCCTGCCCTGGCGAGCAGCTCAGGGTTACTTACCCTCAGGAGCTTCTGAGGCCCAGCCAGTTGGTGTCCGGGGGTACTACCCCTTGTGCCAGCTGGACTACTAAAGCAGCCCTTACCTAGAGTGGCCCCTGCCCCCTCTATCCACTGTAGCAGTCTGGCAGTGGAGGTTGCTGCCTGTCTGTAACACCTGCGACAGCATCCACCCCCTTTGACCTGTGGCCCTATGGCTGCATGCCTGCCAGACCTGGATGGGATGCCTCTGTTCTGCTATCTGGGCAGCTATTGCCCAGAAAATATGCTCCTTCCAATGGCCTGGTCTGAACAGTCAAAGTGTGTCTTTTTGGGCCCAAATGGCCAACAGGTCAGCCACCTCCTCTGCTCTCCCGCTAGGTCTCCAGTGCTGGACCTGGCCAGGCTTCTCTGCCCGCGTCTTGCTACTTGTCTAACCAGCAGAGATCCTGGTGTTCCCTGTTTAAAAATTGCAAATTCTGTGATAAGAAATCCAAATTATTCCATTAAAATACCCAAAACAGTGTTCTTCCACTATTAAAATGAAATGCCACTATATATAGAGAGATCAGTTGAGCAATGTTTCATTGATACATTTACAAGTTTAAAGCAGTTTGGAAGCCTACCAGTGCCTCAGTTATCAAAATAAAATAAATTCTAAATATCTATACATTTTGGCATTTACTTTTGGCTTTTTGTCATAGAAAAATCAGAGCTGCCCCTATCCCCTTTGCTCACCAGGATGTGCAGCTGATATGCTCACTGATATGCCTTGCCGCTTACTCACAGTGTGTACCCTGCCCCAGTCTCCTCACTACTGACTCTCAGGGCCAGGTATCTGGTGAGGGGTTTGTGGGAGTTGCTTGGGGGTGTGGGGTTTGTGGGTGGATTGTGGGGGGCCTGTTGGTGTGAGGAGATGTATGGGGGGACTACACAGGAGGGGTGGGTTCCCTGGCCCCCACAGGGTGCAGCCCCCCCAGCTCATGGACTGCCCCGCCAACAGGGCCCAGAGGGCCCCCCCCCCGGACTACAGCCCACTGCACAGGGACTGAAGGTCCCAGAACCCTCCCCCACCCCCACAGCACCCACAGCTCACCCGCAGCAGCCATCGTGGTGCTCAGGGCCTCCTGGCACAGCCCCTCCGTGCAGTACAGGGCAGTACGGCTTGGCCCTGGCTGCCTGGCACCTGGTGCTGCCTCTGCCACATCGCATGAGTGTGGCCCAGATTGGTGTGGCGCCATAGGTCTTCAGGCAGCTCTGGGCTGCTTGGGCTGTCACCTGGGGCCCCACACCACTCGTGGAGACTGCCTGTTGCACCAGGCTGGGTCCTGCATGCATGCATGGAAGCAGCCTGGCCCGAAAGCACGCAGGGCCCTGTCCATGCAGGACCCAGGATGGTGTGACAGATGGTCCCCGCAAGCAGCATGGGGCCCTGGATGACAGCTTGAGTGGCCCAGAGCTGCCCTAAGGTGCATGGTGCCACGCTGCACCAAGCTGGGCTTGTGCAGTTTGCTACAAGCACCACCGGGTACCAGGCAGCTGGAGCCAAGCTCTGCTGCTCTGTGCTGCAGGCAGGCTTTGCCAGGAGGACCCTGAGCACCCCAATGGGCTGCTGCTGGGGGGGAGCAGGGGGGAAGGGACTGTGGTCCATGCAGGGGGAAGTAGGTAGGGTACCCACTCCTCCAGAGCAGCTCCGTCCACACCCACAGCCCCCCACAAGTTCCCCCCCCACATGTCCTGCCCTGCTTTTTTCTGTAATTTTTTTGATACCTGGATATCCAGGCATCAAATTTTGGGCCCCTGCTGCATATATGCAGTATGAGGAATGCTTTTTTGTTCCCAGCATGCCTCTTGCCACATCTCAAACTGGTTTAAGATGCGGCAAGAGGCACATGTGGGCTCGTCTGGATGTGCCCAAGGGGTACTTACAGACACGGAAAAAACAAAACGACAGAGCTTTACTTTCAGCTTGGTACACTCTGGCACCAAGCACAGCACATGCCCAGAAGAGGAATCAAGTTGTTTTGACCCAGCTTGCCTAGCATCTATATAGCTCAGGTGTTTCAGTGGGGCTTTTTGGCGCTTTTACCTAATAGCTGACTCAATTAGCTATTAGGTAAAAGCGCCAAAAAGCCCTGCTGAAGCATGTGAGCTATACGGATGCTGGGGATCCAGGCCAAACTAATGTGAGTCTTCTTCCAGTAAAGCACTGGCTGGGGGAAGGGTTCCATGTCTGTAAGCATTTGAAATTTTTTAGGGCACTGCAAAAAAAAAAAAAAAAAAAAAAAAAAGG